TACCGGTGTTTGATTAATCGTCATTTTACACGTTGTGCACTAGTAAACCTGCTGGACATGGGAACGTCCGAATTGTTTACGGTGGTCTGGTGTATGTAATTATCCAGCATAAAGCTCATGCACTTCTTGGCATACAGATTGTTTGATCCGTTTTTTGCTTAAGATAGCCTCATCATGACCCTGTAATATGGAGACCAGCTCCCAGATTCTTCCCAATTGTGCTCTGCATAAATACTCGCAAAATCTTTTTGTGACTAGTCTTAACGGAAACGTGGTTTTTTAGTGTTCGTCAAGTAACGTAGTCCGCTTACAAGTGCACCGTTTCTGTCGGCGTTGTTTATTTCTAGACATGATTCTACCACTTATGATCCGCTGCACTGTGACCTTAAAGATGCTTGCTGAGATTTCACCCGGCAGCGTTCCTGTTGTTGCTTTCTGTATCTGTTCAAAGTCGACAGCGGACGAAAACGGTCCCCACAGCCCCACTGCGCGGCGTGGTAGCAAAATGTGTGAGTGCGTCTTATTAATCCTACAATACTTATAAATCAAGGCCAACTTTGTTGTTGTGCTTTATGGCGGTTTGCAAATCAGGATTGTTGATAGTGATTTGACTGCTCCTTTTATGGCTCAAAAGCCGACTTTCCAGTGCCGGGAGGCAATTATTTTAAACTATCTCCCTCCCCCTCTGTGGTAATGCCCCGCGGCAACAAAACGCGCGGACTTGTGACCACGGTCTGTGGCATTCACCAGCATAGGAAATTGCCAAGGTATAACTACGCTTTCGTTTTTATCAGGAAATATCCTCCCTCAAACAAAATTTTTTTTACGCCGTTACCTACGTCCATGTGTTCATATTATAGATGACCCTTCAGCTGAACAGTTATAAAATCTGGTATTTTTTCTGCTAGTTATTTCATCTGCGTGAATTTTATATATGGCTGGAGAAGAACCTACTGACTCCTAGGTCAGGCTCTGCTATGAAACACACGGCGGACATCGCCGGCAACGATGGCCGAGCCGTCATTTATGCGTACAGGATGTGATAAAACTCTTGAAGTCAGTAAAAGTCCCGCGGTTAGTTTCGAAGCACCCCCCGGTGCAATGGGTCAAACCCAGGTCTGACATTTGGACGCCGATAAGTAAAAATATTATACACGCCTCATCTGCTTGCATTGCCCCCGGAGCGTAACACGCCTCAATTTCATCACAACAAATCTACCCTTGGCACTTGAAAACCCTTCTTGAACCAGCGCTACGAACTCCGCCATCAGCCCACTAGCCACAGTGCCTTCCTGGCCTTACTGCCACCGCCCATTTGTTGCACGCAGGGCCTGGTTGGGCACTTGAGAATCCATCGCACCGAGACTGGTCGCACCCACTTCATTCGCACATACTGCCCAAGGACACTATCATTATATGGACGTAGTCGGCAGTGTGCGCCTTCATAAACGTCTGCGGTAAAACACCCCAGACCTTAACCCAATACTTTACCGCTCTGGGCAATTCACGTGATGCATACAGTGAGTGACCTATCTCATGAAATGTTGGCTGAAATTCTGAAATACGTTTTCGATTAGGAAGGATTACTTGGTCGCGGTTGTAATACTGACTATCTTGCGGCATACTCTTATAACATTTTGGACTCGGCAGGATGTCGGCTTTTGAATGCACATCTTTTCAATCTCTTGTAAAGAGCGTACTCGGTAAAAAATGACTACTTAACTAGCATGCATTTTTCGCATTGATTTTCGATGGTCTTGCAAATTCAAATATATTTTATGGAAACCATGAATAAAAATATGCGTTCTTTTAGTCAATCAATAGAGAATCACGTCTTCTTTATATTTCATACTTAAGGAAGTGGTATAATTACGTTTTAAAAAAGTTTCTAATTATGAGACTTTTTAAGACCGCGATATGTCCATTCACATAGCATCGTACCTGGCCGTTTACCACAGCTCCTCATGAAATGTACAACATGGTCCGTATCCATTGCAAAATTTTATGGACCCTGCATGATATCTCTTTAATGACATAGAAAAATATGGGATTTTCTTTATGCGGAACGCATGCACCTTGTAGAGTGTAATCACTAAGCGCTAATGCAACGAATGGTCAGGCTCCAAATTATTCGGCAATTGGAAAACTTTTTTAAAACCTAATTATAATCCTTCGTTAAATATAAAATATTAAGACGACGTTATTTTCTACTGATTGACTAAAAGGACGCATATTTTTATTCATGGTTTCTATCAAATATATTTGAATTTGCAAGACCATCGAAAATCAATGGGAAAAATGCATGCTAGTTAAGTAGTCATTTTTTTACCGAGTACGCTCTCTACAGGAGATTGAAAAGATGTGCATTCAAAAGCCGACATCCTGCCGAGTGCAAAATGTTATAAGAGTATGCCGCAAGATAGTCAGTATTACAACCGCGACCAAGTAATCCTTCCTAATCGAAAACGCATTTCAGAATTTCCGCCAACATTTCATGAGTTAGGTAACTCACTGTATGTGCCCTTCGGGAAGGCAAGTGTTAGGTACTTATTCCGAGTTATAATTCGTTTACTGAAAAAAATGAGAATTGTGTTCTGAAAGTACATTGTACACAAAAGACTGTTCAGCGAAACGACAACAGACAAAAAAAAACAGTCAAGAAGTCGATCAGCGGAAGCAGTAGTCACAGTAAAAAGACACCATGCAAAACCGCCGAAATACGGAATGCAGAGGAGAGGGGATTACAGCGGCAATTGTGAGGTTGGCATCCCCTTGGAAAAAAAGGCAGCTCAAGGTCGTGGGAAGACAGCGCCTCATTGAGATCAGAGGGGAAATTACAGAAAAATTTCGAAGTATATACCTACATATGCACTTTTAAATCATAATCGGTTGTCCAGTTTCCCATAAAAGAAATCAAAATAGGAGGAGTGGGGGTGACGCTATACAATATTGCCGTTGGTCAGGAACGAATACGTCGGAAGCTGCGAAAAAAAAACAACACGCCAAAGCGGCAGACTTTCTCCGAGTGGGTTTCCTTACTTCCAGGACACCTGAAAAAAAAGAGTAAATAACTAAATCCGCGGACGCAACGGTTGAGCGCGTTACGCAGGACTGATTCGAGTACCAAATAAACACGTATCTAACATCAGGCTTGAGGTTAGCAAACAAATGTGGGAAAGACAATTGGAGAACCGCGGAAAGGAAAATGCGCAGTTAGCGCAGACCACGGAGTGCGGTGATTATAGCAGGAGGCCGACCCACGAGTACCGGGGACCGAATCAAGTCAAACGAGCCGGCTGCTGTTGACCGCCAGTAGCCCGCGCGTTGCCATCCACAATAGCCAACACTATCAGATTACTGATGTGTTTTTGTGGTGATCAGGTAAGTCTGTCCTGACAGTATAAACACATTGGAGGGTATGCTATTACAGACAAAGACAAGGGAGACTGCAATGGTCATTTCTGGCTTATTAGCCGTCGTCAGCCAGTCATGCCCAACCCCTAAGTGTGGAACACTCGAGACTCGAACTCGCGACCTGTTAGTTGGAAGTCCATGCCTCTAACCACTGGGCCACGAGCCCGTTGCCCTGTCGGTTTCGATCGGGAATAGACAATGGTAGGGGGCGCTCACCGATCGTTCATACGGAACTCACTCGTTCCGTTGCGCCTTATGGACTCTCTCTCTCTCGAGCCCAACCAGCAGCCGCACAGCGGCGCATGATAGAGCAGTATGTCATTACCGGCAAAGACGAGAGAGAGCCCGTAAGGCACAACGGAACGAGTGAGTTCCCTATGAACGATCGATGAGCGCCCTCTACCATTGTATATTCCCGATCGAAAACCGACAGGGCAATGGGCTCGTGGCTCAGTGTTTAGAGGTGTGGGCTTCTGACAAACAAGTAGCGAGTTCGAGCCTCGGCTGTACCACACTTCGGGGTTGGGTATGGCTGGCTGACGACGGCTAATAGGCCAGAAATGGCTATTCCAGTCTCTCTTGTCTTTGTTGGTAATAACATACGGCCTATATCATGCGCCGCTGTGCGGCTGCTGGTTGGGTACTAGAGAGATCCCGTAAGGAACAATGGAACAAGTGAGTTCCGTAGGAGCGATCGGTAAGCGTCCCCCAACCATTATATTGGAGGGTGTTTAGTCAGCGTTTGAGGGCTGCTCCAGCATCCCGTCTGTGTTGGCAACAATAAACATTTCGACGTGTCTTACCAGAGCGATTCGGACTCGGAATGAGAGATCATGGTGTGGTTAGATAGCCACTGCGTGGTAACATGTTCACTTCGGTGATGTCCACGCCGCCTCCATATCAGCAGTGAAAAGCTTTTGACCGTGGGTAGGGTCATTCCTCTGGACCTCTTTACCTGCTGACCTCAGTAAGTCTGGAGGGTTACATTTCCGGGTTTCTAACTGAGACATTAGGCCTGCCAGCTTCAATGGAAAATTAAGTTTTCAATGCTCAGTTTGTGAGTGCCACTTGTGCACCACTATAATTAGGCCGTCTCGGTTAACAGAATACTAAGACACCTGAATGAGGAGTTTATGGTACACAGAAGCGGGCTTTGTTGTCTCGTCAGCAGTGGTCGCTGGCGAGGCCAGATGTGTACTAATAGTGCTAAATCAGGCCTGAGAGGGCGTGTCTCTAGTGAAAGCTTCTTTTATGGGCAAATTTGAGCGTTCAAATGGAGCGTGGATAGTCATGACTGTCTGAATGCGAGTGTTGTAGACTGTAGGGTCGAAGCGTCTGGAACCAATCAGAAAAAAAGGTGAACAAACCTGGCGCAGCGAGCTACAAATTCGTTACAAGCCCACCGGCCACCGTGGCTCGAGACTCGTATGATATACTCAACGTGGTAACAGTTTTCGCCCTTCTCCTCCCTCCCTCTACGATTGCTAATCACAGTATGCATTAATTTCCCCTTTCTTCTAGCAATTCACACTCCCTTCTGGTCTCACATCATCAACTGTACTGTACTAGTCTTTGTCCCTCTCCAGACCCGAGTAACAAGATAAATTCGAAATTTATCTTAAATTCTTTCAACCAGGCTCGACTATAACCTGGTAAGGGCGATCACTTGTTTACCTGTACTCTATAAAACAGAAATACGCCCTTCCTTTGAGTAAAAATTAGAACGCACAACTTCCGCCAAGATTTGAAAAAGTGTAGACATTTGTGACATCGTTCCAGGAAATTTGACGAAAGTTATCGAAGCCTCGAACATCGAAAGGGAAAATTAAGTTCTACTAGAGTCATTAGATTTTCCGAGTTTGCTTTACACAGGTAGTTTGGCTAATTTCCTCACCAAAAACAAGTATCGTCTATTACACAATTTAGCTTGGTATTCTGTTTCCTATTAGCATTTCTTAAACCTCGCTGACAAAGTTGTTTCTAGTCAAAGGCGTGCTTTAAGAGTTAAACCAATGTCTGTAGATACCCAAGTGGGAGCACCTCCAGATATTGGCATCCTGGGGCAAAAAAACTACAAAAAGAGTGTTGAAAGAGCCTTGGCTGCGGATGAATTTATGTCCTGCTGATTGCCCGAAGACATGTGGTAGATCGCATCTAAACGCGTCAACGTCCCTCGGTCTCTTAGAATAACAGAGTGGGCGCGCCGCTGTGCTCGGTGTTGCAAGTGAACAGATGTATTTGTTTCTGTTACACTGAATGCTAAAGAAAAACGGTCGGTGTTACTTTGTCCCTCCCACAACAGCCCGTGGTCGTCAGCAGGTTGTATGAACCGGATTCTAACCCGAACCCCAAAGTCAATTTGGAGAGAAAATACAAACTGGCATGGGTGGGCTGTAGGACCCGGAGAAACCGCACACCATAGACGCAGGATCAGACCAACAACCCCATCCCCTGCCCAAAAAAATGCCATGTTCTTGTACCTCTTGTCAAGTAGTGGCGGCCCCCTTCCCGTTGGCCAGATGCGGGGGAGTCGCAGAATTTACGCCGTTGTGGTCATGAGTTCCCGCCGTGGCGGAGACCCCCAACGCCATAGTGTCCAGTTTGAGGAGTTGGAGTACATCGGGGTCAGTCTGGACACCCTCAAGAAACTCCTCTAGTGAGATGCGGTCGTCCCGGTCCTTATCCATCAACTCAAAGACTCGACTTGTCCGCTGTTCTGGGGTCGCCTCGCCCTCAGGCATCTTGACCACGGAACCAAGCAGCAAGTATATTGACTGTAATGAAGGCAAAAAAGTCCATTAGTATGGCTAAAAATGAGGATTCCAAATCCAGGCGTAGCGGTGTAGGAATTCAGCTGCTCCCCTAAAAACTAGAATTGGGAGAAGCTGGTTGACGGCTATTGAGTCAGAAGTGGCTATCAAGTCTCCCTTGTCTTTTTTCGGATCTACTTTCAACATATACACATATAATGTGCACTGCGTGAACAAATCAGCAGCGCAAATGGAGGTCACCCCCGGCGATGCGTTGTACAGATTTTTTCACTCCTCGACGACGGACTCGCGTGAGAATTCGAAACGTCGGATATAAAACAAATGGGCTCGGCGACCGTTATTCTATCTTTCTTTATTCAATTACCTAGGCGGCGCGTATTTTTCATCATTCGGGATATGCATATATAGGCTGTGCGACTGTCCACAAGGGTTCTTGTATGAGTCCCAAGGCACAATGGAACGAGCATATTCCGTAACCTGATTGGTGAGCGCTCATCTGTCACAGTATACATATAAATATATATGCAGAATGATATTACCGACAAGGACAAGGGAGAGTGGAATGGCCATTTCTGGCTTATTAGCTGTCGTCAGTCAGTCATACCCAACCCCGAAGTGTGGTATACCCGAGGCTCGAACTCGCGACCTGTTAGTTAGAAGTGCATGCCTCTAACTACTGGCCACAGTCGAGGAGGGCATTCCTGAAGGAGCGCCGGATCATTCGCCTGCCGTGTTGCGTCACTTACCCTTTTGCCAGACTTGTATTCGCCGGTGGCCTGTAAGTCAAGCTCTTCGGGGGCACATGATTGTCGAGGAATTTGTGGAGGAATTGGATTCGCGCGTACATAGATGAAACACAAATGGCAATGGTTACGCAACGTGCTGACTCAAACACTTCGCGCCCAAAATATTGCTAACAGAAGCGAGGATGCGAGCCATTTATGTCCCGGCGACCACAGAGATGATAAGCGTCCGAACCGATTAACGACTCTGCCACCTATCTTCCCTGCACTGTACGCCGTTAAGCTGGAGCCGTATAATTAACGCCCAGTCCCCCTTTTCTTTGTCGGTAATACCATTCTAACTAACGCCGTGTTAACATGGCTGTCGCCCTCTGTAATTATTGCGAGGAGCGGTTGGATACTCACCACTGACGGTGAAAGCTTGTCTGCTCTTGAAACGCCAGGACAATACCATTGTGGTTCCCGAGAACGACCTTCCTTCAAAGTTATGTCCGGGACTCGCACCTTCGTTTCTGTTAACAATATATATATATGTATATATATATTGCCAATTAAAGCGAAAATGCGCGTCCCCGGGGATAAATGAGGAGAAGAGGCGATCTCGGGAACCATAGGTTTAATAGCCTGACGTTTCAAAAACAAACAAGCTTCCATCGTCGGAGGTGGGTTCTGTACGGCGCCTCACAGTATTTATGGGTGCCGAGCATGCGGGAGTGTTGTCGTTCTTACTGCTATTCGTGCAGGATCTGCTGCGGGGGGAGGAGTTAATTGCTGTCGTGCTGGCCGGTCCCTTCCTCGTCTCCTAGTCGGGTGGGCTGAGTCGGGATGGCAACGGTCATTGACCTCGTCTGCATTACCCGCATTTGTTGTGCCTGACCCGCATTTCTCGTAATTGTCGCCCGTTTGCCTCGGCCCTTGTGCACCTCGGTGGTTGCTGACCCGTTGCCTGCGTCTCCTTTATCGGCCTGCTGACCCCCGTCATCGGTGTTTGGGCGCGAACAGTGTTCACTTGGGCTTGTGGTCCTGACTTCCTGCCTTTGATTCCGTTGGTTGAATCGCACTCGTAGGGCCTGGTAAGCCGCCGGGAGAATCGTGCAGCGGTTGATGGAAGTTGGTACGGTGTGCCAGGCTTCGAGCGTTTCCCTGGCTGTCTGGTCAGTACCTCGGCCTAGGATTTCGGCGTTCTCGAAGGCGAAAGTGTGTCCAGAGGCAGCACAATGTTCCGCCACCAGTGAGAGTTGGTCCATCCTTCTCACTGCCCTTGCGTGTTCACTCATGCGGGTTTGTAGACGTTTTCCGGTCTCTCCAACGTAGTTCGCCTCACAGGAACTACACTGGACACGGTAGACGACATTCGCTGTTTCGCCTCGTGACAGAGGGGCCTTGGGCCTCATGACGAGACGTCTTATTGTCGCTTCAGGTCTGTGGGCGACGCCGATCCCCAGTGGTTGTAAGAGACGAGCGACTGCTTCGGATACATTCTCAATATACGGTAGCGCCCGCCACACTTTGGGTTGTTCTCTCGTTGGCCTTATAGCCTTCTTTGGTTGCCTGCTGCGTTCGATGAAACCGCGAGGATAACCGTTGGAGATGAACATCCACCGAAGATAATCGAGTTCGGCTACTTTGTCGGCTGCCTCGCTGCAGTGAGTTTCCGCCCTCTTGTAAAGAGTCCGCACACAGCTACGTTTATGGC